ATATATATATATATATATATATATATATATATATATATATTTTATTATATATATATATATATATATATATATATATATATATATATATATATATATATTAGTTCCAATTAAATAAATTTTATATACATTTTATATAAAAATCTAGTGTAATATATAATACTTATCTGATAATTAAACATAAATCCCATACACAAATCTCGTGTAAAAAAAAATATTACTTTTATAATTACAACGGTAGTTTCTATGTGAATGATGTTATTATATCGAAATGCGAATCGAATTAGATGAAATTTCTACATAAAGGCTATTTCTATTTGCAATATAAGAATAAAAGGTTAACCGTGGTGCATACAAAACTTTATTCCACATTTATTATCTATTATTCGCAAAATTCTACCCGACTGTGCACAAAGGTGAGCGCTTTATCATGGCGTATTACGACATTACACTTTCAGTTACGGCGCAAAATGGGTACGTGCGCGCCTGTGTTCACGAGCTTGCCATGAATTTACGCGCGGCATTGGCGAACATTTGTGAATGTTGCGAGTCGCGGCGGTGAAAATCGATGCTTTACTATCGGCTATAATTCCATTATCGATAGTTAGTTAAGTGTCGATGCGGGCGGCAAACTTGAACGCTCTCTACGAATAACGCAACTGCATTCCGATAATAAAGTTAACGTCGACGCAAAAGTATACGCTCTCGTCAAACTTGAAAATAAGTCCGGAGAACTGCGATTCGATTAAATCGCCGACTGTGTCGACGTCGGCGTTGTTAACAACGGGAGCGTGCGAAAGCTCGCAAAATGCACTCCACGGTACCGGTGTCGGCTCCAACGAGGACAAAGTAAACTCCCCTTATAAGTAAATAAAACGTAGTAATACTTTCGTTATCCGTTGTTACATAGCAGAAAATTAACGCGTGAGAGTATCTTTACGAATACCGTTCCAACATTTCCCAAGCAGATCCAATCTTCTTTTCAATCTTTCCTACACAAGACATCTTTGATCAAGAAGAGATTCGCTACTTCGATGCAGTTTATATGCACAATTTATGTCCGTGTCTTAAATAAATCTCGTGTAAAGGCTACATATTGCTTTTGACATATTACTCTCTAAATTTCTTGAAGTAGAATTTTCCTCGAAACGAGTGAAACATGGCAATATTTTCGTTCGATGTGTTAGTGAAAATATTGCCATTCGAAACCGCAAGAATGAATATTTTCCTGTAATAATGTCTGTGATCTTCAATTTCGAGTAAAAACATTCACTCGACGATTAAGGAGATGTTGGAATTCATGACGAACTCCAAAAATGTCAATAACGTAGAAATCATCGTCACTGACACAATCACGCTATCTTTTTCGTATCTCTGGTATAGATCTTACGTAAAGATATGTTGCTTTATTATATTTAGCAGAAAACTTGATCAAGAATATGTAGAAATCTTTTTGCAAACTTTTCCGATATTTTTAAGCTTCTAAATTCAAATGTATGAAAGTACAACAACATTCTTTGCAATTTTTTAGAACAAAGCAAATTCGCGCGTTCAATATACAACCTACAGAGAGAGGGAGAGAGAGAGAGAGATCTTTTTTATTGGATTAATATTTATTTTTAACTGACAGCTGACAAGCTAATTTACACTTGAAATGTCAACTTTACGATTTTTTATCATTTTTTTCATATATTGAGCAATACTTCAATTTATTACGTATTTTTATTGTGTAAGAATACTTATTGTTCTATGCAGCCAATATAACGTATTTTGCAGAAAAAAGTCAGTATTCTAGCGATAAAGATTCAGACTCCAGTATTCCCTCTTAAGAGTGAAAATTTACTTTATATAAAAATTTACTTTATAATAAATAATGAAAAGTAACTCAAATTCAGATGATTCGAAGATCATCCTACTTTTACTTCTACTTACGAGTGAAATTTTATTCTAAGAAATTTAAAGAATATAAGTACATTTGATTGTTAAATAATGTTTACATTTTTATAGAATCAAGTTGCACAATAATCCGAGTTGTCAGAAGATCACTACTAACATGTATGCAGAGTAATTGATTATAAATATATAAAAACTACTTCTCAAAATTATGTTCTCTTAGTTTAAAATAAATTCTTTTTTCCAAATTTCGCAAATGTTACACTCTGTGTTGTTACAATTTGATTACTATACACGTCAGTACTGGCTTTCAATTCTGATAGCTTGAAGCGTTGTAATTTCATTTAATAAAATGTATGAAAACCATCTGCAACTGAGCGTACACAAGTTTCACAACAGAACATAGTAACTTTAACATTTTACAAAAATGAAAAAAATTACGCGCAATGTGTGTACGTATATATTCGTACATCATAACTATTTATTATTTCAACAGAGCTGCTTTTCGAAATAATCAACAGTTGATGCACGAATATGTAGACATATATCGCGCGTAATCGAAAAATTCCTTTAAAATCGTAAAAAATCTAGAATTACAAAACATTAAGCTATTATGCCAGATTGTGTACAATGGTGATCTCTTTACAAAAATAATACCGTTATTACACCGAAATGGATCGAATTCAAACAGATATCTGTATACGAATTTCTATTATCAATTTTTTTCGACATAGAAGATCCGTTCCAAATATAAAATAAGTATAAAGTCTCGCGTAACAGAGAACTTTTCTTGTATATTTTTGTCTTATTTTCCAAACAAAATCCTCATATCCCCACGGCTTTACCGTCATTCGTGGGATATCCTGTGTGCAGAACGTGCTCAAAAAGAAGCGCGAAAAAAGAGGCTGGACAAAACGATCGTTGATTAAAAGTTGGAGCGACAGACGTTTAATCGAATTTCAGCGACGTCGTGATATCGCGTTACCACAGAAGTGCAATCTGAAAGGAGGGCGTCGATATTTATTAGAGAGATGAACACGAGACGGGGAAGCGCGGTCATTTGCATGCACGTGCGCTCAATAATGAGGTTGTAATTAAATGACGGACTTGGCTTAATGACACGCCGAACCGCACGACAGACAACTACTCAAAAAGCTCACACTGAAGTATGCGTTGGAACATACTTTGGAGAGGGTTTCTTCTTCGTGGACGTCCCTTTTTGACACGTAGTGTGCTTACAACCGCCAAGAGTCAGTACTCTGCCGCTAAAGATTTAGACTTCAATATCCTATATCTTATCTACTCTTATCACTATTTCACTTATATAGAGTGAATTCTTCACTCTATATAAGAGTAAAAAATCACTCAAATTCGGATGACTTAATGATCACTCTGTTTCTCGAGTGAAATTTTAGTCCAAGAAATTTGGTGAGATTTTAAGGAAAATATGGAAAGAGAGAGATAGAAAATTAAAAGAAAATAAGTAGGGAAGGAAGCAATAAGTTGGAAGATTTATAAGGTAGAGAGTATATTGGTTTAGTGTTTAATTTCTTTTTTTATTGTATATATTTGGATAAGGATTAGGGAAGTATAAGCATTATAAGCATTTTTTACTGTAATACAAATGAAATGTGGAATGTAATGAAATGTGATATGATAATAAATTAAGAGTAAGAGAATCATTTAGATAAGGAGATATAAGATAGATAAGAATATAAGGTATGGATGTGTGGACGGGATAAGTTTTCTGTATTTTATAAACCAAGTCCCCTTCTTGGTAGCTGAAGGAAATAAAGTACTATAAGAAATTTAGAGAGTATAAATACACTTGGTTACTAATCGTTGTTCCAAGTGTAATATCACATATGAATTTAAGAAAACCTCGAGATTGTTCAGAATATTTCTATGAGCACACTGAGAGAAAAAAATATCTAAAAGATAAAAAATATTTCTTTGCGATGAGTACTAAAATAACATAATTATTTGTATTAATATATACACATCTTTATGCTGAGAAGAAATTTCCTTCAAATAAGAAAATACATATTTTTCTAAAACCGTTGCTCTTCTCACAAAAGCAATTATTCATTATATTTAGACAAAAGAATTCAGATTCAAGCAAGCGTGTGTGTGTTGTCATTAGCACTCACCGAATAAATATCTTTTATTTTCCAAATATCTTTTCTCTTAATGTACTAAAATTGTCCTTGACTGTCGAGAGCGACTGTTTTGAAAATAAAGCCTCGTATCTAACAAAAACGAATATCTGCACGTTCGATTTGCACTTTCCATATAAAATCATTGTTTACTGTAAACACACCTCACGTAATCGGAGATAGACGTGCACAATACATTATTTTCGCAATTATCTTTCCCGAAAGCCAGGTGAAAAATCGAAAAATTTACGCTGCATTTTTATTTATTTTCTGTATGCGTATTTATTGTTTCCCGTAATTGTCTACTCGTGCTGGCTTGCGTCATGATTTTCCAAACATCCTATTTTCTGGAGGTTCTGTTTAAACCAATAACGATAAATAAATAACGAGCAACACCAGAGGAGCTGCTCCAGTTTATTCGTATAACCCATTATTGATTACCGAATTGTGTCGACACCTGACAAGCATTTTCCACAGGTGTCTCTCGATGGCGGGTAGAAAACGTCGGAATAGGTACAGTGGAATTAAATAAAGTCTATATTGAGAGACCTTCGCGCGCGCTCTTGGGAAATTAAAGAGCGCCGCGAGACGAAATTCTAAAAATAATAAGCCTTCGGTATACCTGCTGACACGCGCTTTATCGTGGTCGTTTATATCCTGATCTCCAAAATGGTAAATGTACAGAATGCATGGTCCATTAGAGGGAAGAAAGAAATATATTAACAAGATTATCTTAACAAGATAAGATTGTAAAAGTTTCACGTGCAACTCAAAGAGCGTGCGAGGTTCATCGAAATGCATTTCGTCTTAGCGCGTTGATTGAAACAGCCAACGGAGCAGCTTCTCTCGTCGCGCGATTAACGACTTATATTATGACTTCTGCCTAAGTGCATAACGTTAATTTCCAAGAATAATTACGAAACTCTATGACGCTCGCCCTGACTCTCGCGATCACGCCGACAGTTATTGTTTGAACAACTTCGCGCGATAAGTAGAGGAGCGCTAACAAGTTTTGCGAGCTACGTGCAGCAGGCAAAGCATCATTACGAGTAGACGATCATTATTTCGATGCCCGGAAGTCATACACTAGAGACCTGCTATTAATAATAATGAAGGCATCAACCATCGCCTCCGCGTACGGATGTCGCAGCAGCGCATAGAAATCCTCGTTACTTCGAGTCCTGCTTTACTCACGTGACAGACACGTCAGGCAGAATATATTCGCGAAGAGCAAGCAACGGCGTCGATCTCCTTTAAAAGATAATTTATGCGTAATCGCTAAACTGCGCGATAAGCTGCTATACAGTAATGCAGCTCGATTCAAATTGCTTATAAATACCTCGCGAAAGAAGTCGGTCGTTCATTGACCATATTTGGTTTTTTCATTAGGCATAATTTTCTCGAAACGGTCTTGATTTGGATGGGCATCACAGAGAGAAAGACTTCTTTGTACAAAATTTCACGAACATTTCAGATAGTAATTCCGCCCCTGTTTTTGGTTTTTTCACTAGACATAATTTCCTCGAAGCTGCACCATATTCCGGAGCATCCCCTAAGAAATTCATATCGCGCCCTGCGAAAATGGTACAATGTTCGTGTGCAAAGGCAATTACGCCGATCCGCGTACGATCTGCGTGAAACTCACTCTTAACGGTTGATCGATAGACGCTCGCCGTGGCTGGTCGCTTTAATAAACGGATAATATTCGCGATGCAATTGGGCGTGATATGGTCGGTGCAAGTTGCGAATATCGACCGATTGCCGACTGCGGCGACATGCAATGGGCGTGGTAATTAACGCAGCGTATCGTTTATGGATATTTATTATCCAATCAGTGAGAAAGCCGTGGAGCACGTGACCGAGTTCTATTGTCGTTCGCATAGGTTGCGCCGCTCGTAATATTGTTGTATTAATCCTTGAGAGTACCATCGATGTATACTCGAAGTCATTAGGCACTATCCGCGCGCGCGAGCTTGCACAAGATAAAAGATATTGCCAGTTTTCCGCGACTATACCAAGATATCGATTACTTGGACAACAAAGCTTCAAGACTTTTCGGTTGTTTTTTTTTTGAGACATAATACTGCCTCTTTCCGGGGTGTGTTTCTACCGTCATCTCGTGCGTCACACGTTACGACAGACGAAATAAGAAGACTACTGTTAGTAATAAGAAGCTTACTGTCATGTTTCATTATTAGACGCGACATAGTGCAACGAAGTGGTAACTTGACTCACGCAACGGTCGAACTTTCTTCCACCGAGATACGACGCGCGTTAACTATGCTTTCGTCAGAGATGTTCTTTAATTATGCTGTCTTACCGCGCGTACAAAAGACAGATATTATTTCCCTTTGTATTCAGCTCGGCCTCTCTTACTCTCTGTCTCTCGGATGGAGGGATAATTGTTCCATCGGGCAAAGCAACTGTTAAGTCATGAAGCTGATTACAAAAACCTTCGTATCCAGCAAGGAGCATTATTAGAGGCGCACGAAATTCTACTTGCGAGGCTAAATTCTAGGTTTCGACTCGGGTGACCGCTTACTTGTCTCTTATTCAGCCTTATGTATCACCTAAGCTTGTCAAACGTCTCTTGAGAATACCCTTTATGTGATAAATGGTTTGATATATTTGGAGATGTGTCGTCCATGCTACTCACATTCCAGCGTTCTCCCTCCTCTGTTTTGGCTTTCCGGTTCAACATCCTGGTCCAAGCTGCTTCATCGAGATATTCCGGATATTCCCTGGTGGCACTGATACTCACATAGATGAGTTCTGACACTCATACAGATGACATTCGATCGACGAAACCCGTATCGAGTAACAGATTAAATCTTTTCAGAGCCGATGAAATATTACAATCACGGCGGAAATTAGAACTCTAACGTACCGATACTATACGACAAGAATTTTACTAATTTCTCGACCGTCTTGAGGGTCTGGAATGTTTCGAAGAGCGTTATCTGTCAGCCACGATATCTATGTGTATTCAATAAAAGACAACGACGGTAGACGATCGCTAGGGAATGACTGTGCTCTTTTCTCTGATTGTTTTGTTGTATTGTAGTGTGTAGTATATTTTCCTTTTGTGACCGAAATATTATATCTCGAACCGACAAATGATATACATACGCAGGATATGTATAGCGGCGCGTTAGTCAATTTTTCCGTCGGCCGATTAGAATATTTGATCGACTCTTTGATCGACTTTTTAATCCGACTCTCATCGGTGTCGTGTCAGTTAATATGTTTCTTCGATCGAATTGCACTTACACGAATAATACAGTGCTACGAGCGAATATGTGGAGCGCCACGATGAAACAGCCGGGACTAGGATACAAGATCGCGAAACCAGGACGCCGGGATACGACCAGCCATACATTATGTATCTCCAGGAAGTCAAATCATTTATTATACAGGACACTCCCGATTTTAACGAGTGTTTGACAGACTTTCTGAGAGCGTATACAGGTACCCAAGCTAAAATTTAGAATCTAGTTTCGCAGGCATAGTTGTATAACAATATTGCTTTAAACCTTCGAGTAATGTGTTTTCGTTATCTTTGAAATAGTAACCAGAGTCGCATGTATGTTCCTCGATTTTTCTTTCCTTGCTCGAAAAATTGTTAATAATTTCTAAAACTTTCTTTATCCTCTTAGTTAAAGAACCACATAGTTCTTTGTGAAAAATGAATTGCTAAATATTTTACTTTTAAACAGTAACTTCAATAATTTAATCAATATAGATGACGGAGATAAAATTACTATTTGAAATGTCCGTGAAATGTACTACAAGAAAATCTTTCTCCCTGTGATCTCTGTGGTATTCAAATTAAAGTCACGTCTTGTAAACCACGTCACTGTGTAGAGAAAGGACAGAGAACAAAACGACAAACTTTATATATAATCCTTACACTCACCTAAATTTGCTTGCAGATACTGCTAGATACTACTACCGCTGTAAATTTTACGCGTACTGCAGATACAAAAAACAGCGAGAAATTTTAATTGATATTTTTTTAAACAATTCCTTTCACACTTGTTAGAATGACTCGGACATAAATGATCCCAGTTGCTACTCGGAGGGTCTTTGCTGTGTACGTTTCTTTTTTTTAGGGTTACGTCATGTATTTCCAGATGTGTCAGTCATCTATTGTAAACGATATCTTCGACTTCAATGGGAAGTTTGACAAACTTACTAAGACTCAGGGGACCCTCGCGTCGAAATTTAGAAACCACTCGAAGTCTGGCAAGTTGTGTACCTTTAATAATGGGCTTCTTGGGCAACAAGTTCCATCTCGAATCTATTAATGTCTTGTTATCATAACGAATTCAAATGTCAACCTTTATTAACATAAATCTTTGTTGATGTAAAGCGACAGAGTACACGCAACTGCTACCTTTGCCCTTACAACTTCTCCTCTCTCACCCTTTTTGAATTTCCAAATTCCATCGATATTTCCAACGCCGATAAAACTAACAAAACGATAAAGAGATTATGAAACAAAGTTTATATTAATCCACTAATCTCATCATTAATTATTCTATACGGCTCGTGCACATCGCATACGTTCAATCTACAGTCGAGTAAGGTACATAATTAATACGTTGCTGATTGAAATTTAGATTAAAGATTAAATAGATAGGACACTGAGGTAATGGAATATCAAATGCTATTCATTCCAAATATTCATTTCGCAAATTAACGTTACTTATAACGAAATGGGACGTACATCATCACAGAGGCTCTTGGCAAGTTCTCTTTTAATCACTTTATTGCTGACAACTAGATCATTGAATTTTGTAGCGAATTTCAATGCTCTAAAACATTGTTCTTAAAACTTTATGCAAACTGTTCGTTGCCGGCTGTTGTTATTGAATATCCTTTTAATAGTCTATTCTTCCCGTGACATTATGAGTTTACTGTGATAAAAAGTAAACACGACACGCGTACGCAACATGTTATTGTATTGTTGTTGTCGTCCAACGCTAGCATATGCGTAGGACGTTGAGCTAGCATTTAAGCCTCAACATGAAGAAAACAATAGTACGCAATTCTGAATAATATAATGTTATATCAATAGGTCTCTGAATTCAACGGAACTTGCAAAGCTAATGTAAAACTAAGTTTCGGGTATTCTGACCGTACGTATAGTTTGTGTTAAACGTGTTCTCACGATTATCAAACTGTAGTAACGTTACGATATTTATATAAGACAAATAGTGAATTTTTAATGAAATGGTTAACATGTAGCTTTAAATATATAATCGAAATATATAATCAAAATGTAGATTTTAGAGTTTATACACAATAACGGATTCTCTGATTAATTTGAAGTTGACTTTTTTGAAACGTTCGATTTGTTAAACATTTGATCAGTGTTAAATCGAATCTCTATTTTTTTCTTTGTGTCTTGCTTTCGTCGATAATTACCAAGATTTGGTCACATGCCATCTTTAGTTAGTCGCGGCCTAATTTCCACACGCGCAAAAAGACAAACCCGACGAGAGAAAACGTCTACCGTTGTGAAATCTCCGTTCTTTTTCGCACGTGGTCTCTCTAGACGGTCGTTTGGAGAAAAGGAACCGCCGACAAAGAACCGCCGTTGAACGTTATGTAACAAGAAAAGTCGGTTGATCGTTTATTTTCTTCTTGTGTGGGAACCTCTCGATAGTCGCGCAGCTCACGATGAATTCTTTCGGAAACGTGTTCGAGGCTCGCACTTTCGACAAGGGAACTTCGTGAACTCGGATAAGACGCGCCGAAACGAACGCGGTAACTATCGATGTGGTCTTGGTTCATTTTCACCCTCCTGTTCTTCCTTTTTTTTCTATCTTCACGACAACCAGTCGTATAGGCACAAATAAAAGATGCCGCCGGGGTGAGAAAAACAAGCAAATATTTTCTTAAAACAGACGTATTATCTCATTATTATCTATTTTCCGTAATGCCATTTAGCTATTTCGCGTTTCATGAAAGTAGTGCACTTCAATTGAATTATGAATTTCGACAGTTTAAATTGAAATTAAATATTTGAATTAAATCAAATATTATGAAATATGTATAATATTAGCATTATGATATATATAAATAATGTTGAATTAATAAATAACGTATGCTTTTTCGGACATATCTCGCCAGTTGAAAGTTACATGATCTCGGAAACAATAACATATGTATATACGAAATTGTTGAGCAATTAAAAGAATGTTTTGCTGTTTCAAGTAAAATTCTAAATGTCACAGTTAAAATTTATCGCTGCTTTTTGAATCTGCTAAAAAATTACTTGTGGTACACGTAGAATTTACATGTGGTACACGTAACATTCTAGCAATATCTGTAAGCAAATTTATGTGGGTGTAAGGATTATACATTTATACGTTGTTTTCCGTCGCTAGTTCTCTACCGCAGTCACTTTTGTAAGTGATATGACTGGCCTTAATCTACAAAGAGACTCTTTCTTGCTAAATTTCACAAATATTTCAGATAGAAATTCTGTTTCTGTTATCTATATCGATTAAATACAAACGATGTGCGATATCGCAGTGCTTGTTAGTCATTTATCCATCTTAGAAAATTTTTCGTAAATTATTTTCGCTATGTGATTGTAAGATTTTTCTTTTGAGTGACGTTAAACGCGAAAGTAAATGGATTGGAACGTGTCATGCATGATTGCCGACTTTTTCGAATCGATCGAAGCGTGCGTGAGACGCATTATATTACTTCGCTCGTACATTCATCCTCGTACGACCATTTTGAGCAGCATCAGCACCTTGGAATCCTAATTTTTCTTTTTGTTTCAGATCTGGCGAAGTTAGTAGCCACACGAAGGAGTTGTAGTTACTTTAGGTACACATGTTTTAACGGAGGATCCGACTCGAACCAAGTAAGATCAACTCGAAAGTAATTTAGATTTTCTTTCATGTGCTCGCACATGCATAAGGCCATTTGCGTTCGAAAAGTAGGACAGTTGTCCATATAAAAGTCGTTGATTAACAACGACCGCAGAAGGATGAGATGTTCGTATTAAACACGGAAAAAAAGATCTGCTACATATAGAAAACTAAATATAATTTGCTGTATTAGCCACTTTTTCTTTGCTTTGCACAATTTCCTTGCTATGATAACAAGAAAATAGGTTCCTGCAACAAAAAAAGTAGCTAAAACAGTAAATTATGTTTAGTTGCTCATCTGTAGCAAATTTACAACATTAGCCATTTTTCTTGTTGTAGGAACAGACTTTCTTGTTATCATAGCAAGAAAATAGGTTCCTGCAGCAAAGAAAAAGTAGCTAACACAGCGAGTTATATTTAACTGTCCATATGTAGCAAATTAGTTTGCTGCTGCAGCAAATTATTTTTTTCACGCATATTTCTCTCGTTATTTGTATTTAATCGTTGATGATATATTTTTTGCTTCAGTAGCACAACGTGACCGATCCTAATCTCCCAGTATTTTAATGAATCGAAAATAAAGAACAAAAGAGGTGGGCTTTTCGATGGTTGGTTTGAACATGAGATCAATGCGATTTACACGATTCGTAGATTTTTGCACATATATTCTGAGAGAAAAAATTGTTAACCCTACTACAAAAACTAGTTTCTCAATTATAATTGGTTCATTATGCACTTACAGAATCACAAATGCCAAACACTTTTCAGTGTAGGGTTTTGCATGTGCGTGTTTGTTGATTTTAATATATTGTTTGAAGTAATTAGAGGATTTCTTCTTTAAAAACAAACCATCTAGATATTTGAATTCAGTATATTCAAGTCAAGAGAAGAGAGATTATTTGACGGAATTATTCATTTAACATAATCCTTCAATTGTTTCAAGCTTCACTAAGAGCACATCAAAATTGCTCCTTAAAATAGCGCATCATACACACAGAACTGCGTTTAAGAATGATGCTCCAGAATAGTGCGCATCAGAATTGTAAGAATAATAATTTAGAATTCGCGTAGAATTCGCGATTATTTTACTCACTATTAACTAAATTTTGTGTTCGTTACAATCGCTAATTTCATAAATTTTTCCACGGTTATTTCGAGCAAAATGTTATATTTCGAGCAAAATTGAAATTAGAGTTCGAAGTTGGAAATTAAAAATGAGAATTCTTGTGAAACAGGAACTTCGTTTGTTTCAACGAGATCGCAATTGTCCGCGGAACGGAATGTTTGCTTTTTTTCTCTCAATGTTATTGAACACAGAGCGGTTTCGTTTTGTTTACACGCGAATCGCGAATGTATCCCCACGCGACTCGCGAGTGTGTCGGAATTTACCGTCCATTTTTTACTTTCCATCATTATTTACTTTCCATCAAATCGTTAAAGGCCGGTAAAATCGGTAGTGAGTGCAATATAGTACAGTGAAGTGAGTGAAGTGCGATCTAATGGAATGACAATTGAACGATATGAAGGCTAAATGCTGAAGACTTAGAATGCTGGGCGACTTGATATCGCGGGATATCAATCCGATATGGTGAGCGTACAATTTGAACGCCCAAGAAGCGTCATATTACATAGTGCATGCCATGTTTACACGTAAATTGCATGGATCGCCAACAAGAAGAGTCATTACGTGAAGTTTTATAACGTTGCGAAATCACTTGAAAACACATTCAGGTTTGTACTAATAGCCATTGCCTGAAATTCCTACATGAGGTATTTAGATATAAATTTTGAGTTAGATTTAAATTTTTTTACTTAAATTACACAATATATGCGATATTACATTTGTAAATACGATTCAGCTGAAAGATTTACATCTAACTCTAAGTTCGATTATGATTATCTCATCTGAAGCAAGCTTCAAGTTACGACTATTAGTACAACTTTCAGATTTGACTTTAGAATTAGATATGAATTTTTCAGTTGATTACAAATACAAGTCGCATATGTCGTGTGATTTAACTGAAAACCGCAGATCTAACTCTAAAATGAAATCTGAATATCCTACGTAAAGACAATTTTCAAGTGACGACTATTAATACGAACTTTAGGAATCGATAGCGATTGCGCGACAGTGCAAGCCTGCAGTGTGTCTAGTTTACTATATATAAATCATGGGTACTATTAATTATACATCGGAGACGACCGAGTAGTATTTACGACGCGCGCTGTAACTCTCGTAAGGCAATTGGAAGCGATCGAGTCCCGATATATGGGGCGCGGCAATAGCTATTAGCACCTCGAATATCCTCGAAACGATAGTGGTTGGGGAGAATTCGTTGAAACGAAAGTTACACGGTGGGAAAAGGCGTCGGCATATGGCGGTAACGATTTTTTTCTAGGTCGAGTTACCGCGTGGGCGGAGTTTTCTCTAACTGTTGTGCTCCCAAAAAAATATTCAAGGTGTTAGCCAGTTGATGGTTCACCTGTATACATAGACTGGAGCATGCCAAACATCGACGTGGAAACTTATCGAATTGTCGACGATATGATTTGAAAACAAAGTTTTGCACGTGATCGTATACATTCCTTTTGTAAGTAGTTACGTGATTTGCAAGAGAGTCGAAAATCTTGATTTCACGTTACGCTTTTTACGGAATTTGCTTGATACAGATTTTCTCGAAATTGAACAAAACAATGCATCCTGAGATTAAGAAGAGATTATTCTGCTTTTGCGACGTATATCCTCGAAATATTAAGCTTTTTTATTTTTATCTTAAATTTTGATCTCCGCATTTTCAGGTCGCACAAAGTGATGCAAAATAATTTAATAACGGAATGTTTATGATGCGACGCAATTTTTTGGGGCAGCGCGCAATTTTACGTAAAAAAGAGAGCGCGGTATTTTAATTATTTCGCGTACGATGTCGCGATACCGTAGAAAGATCAAAGGATGCGCGGCTTCGTTATACTGTTTGCGTATAAGATACAAAACATCATTAGCATTATTCATGGAGATACCATTTCCATTCCCCGACAATAGCAATGAAATATGCTTCGTCGACGGAACGATGATTGGATACGATTTAATATTGAGTTATTATCAAAATTCAACAGGCAATACGATTTGTTTTATAGTGTAGAATTTTCTCCGATATACGCGACAGGAGAAAGATATCCTATACAGCACCAAATGTCTAAAATACATCCCAGAAACGTTCCAGAGACAATGTGATATCTCTGGGATGTCTCTGAAATATATTTCGGACATTTGTGCTGTATGGGTATTTTATCTCTTGTCTAAGTCTTAATTTCTAAGTTTTGTTGAAAAAAAGCCTGACAGACTTAAAACATAAAAACAGAAACGGGCTAAAAAATGCTTGATGTATATTTGCATAACAACCCGAGCCGAAATTTTGATTCTATGTTAAACCTTGAACTTTACAATGCAGTAGGAATTAAGTTAGCAAAATAGGTTTAATTCTAATGATACAATTTATTCCTTTTTTGATTCTAATGAAATTTCCCTTTTCACTTTCTTTAGCGTCAAAATAGGTTGTATTATAGATTTCAGAATATCAAAATAGGTGTTGAAATAATGAGACTAAAAATATGATCAAAATTTCGAGTAGGTTAAATAGAATCAAGAGAGGTTGATGTAGATTTCAGAATATCAAAATAGGTGTTGAATGGAATAGTAAAGCTGAAAATAAAATCAAAATTTCGACTCGGGAACACATGGTGTATTTATATATTTCATATATATGTATATATCATATAAAATATTCCAAGAATTGGAAACCGCGCGACAACTGCAAAATGCGAAATTTATACACGACGTAAATCTTTGTATGCTTAACTTTCTCGTAGATTATGCGAGTTTCTCGCGTTATATGCTTGCTGGGCGTTTGCTCGCGGCATCGTTAAATTAACCGTTAATTCGGCAAAGCAATCTTGAACTTACGTAACGCGATGCTGCGGTACGTAATTTCGCGATTTTATCAGTAAACATCGCTTCCCGACCTCCTGCATCTCGATTCCAGTGAGATTGCTCTAGATAACGCGCGACACATTTCGCCGTATCTTATCTAACGCGCACGTACACACGCTAGCGCGGATAAAAGTCACAAAGTGGCGGCCGGTCTATCAAAATATCCGTCAAAATGCGCGACTGCGATCTCGTTGCAGCACGCACGATGCCGTTGCGAGAGAACTCGAGACGACTTTTACAGTAGATCGCGCGCGAATTCATACTGCGCGACTTTGTCGCCTTTTTGTTTGCCCGATATTTTACATAGATGTACCTTCCGGTAGCCGCCCTGGGATCAGATTTCAAGGTTGCGCGCGGTATCTCAAAATCGTCACGTACACCTGCCTTTTCCACGGCAGATTTCCTCTCGCCAGTCGGCGGAATCGACAGTTTTCCTGCGCCACAACGGCGAAACGCCCACGGCTTTTCTACGTTAGGTATTCTCACCCGTATCCCAGCTGCCTCCCTCGTGTTAATTATCGAGTTACGGCCGCTGTTTCGAGTACCTGAGATACGGTTTCGAATTTACATATTGTGCCCTATCTCGGTGCTCAGTGCGTTTCTTGCGCGCCTCGTGAAATCTGCAGATTCCAGTTGCTGGCAGCCAGCACCTGTCGGCATTTAAAACGCCATTGCGTATTCATCGGCGCGGCTGCTAAAAACGGTAACTTCGTTTCGACTGATAACGAGCAGAATTGCAATCGTTATCCCTTATGAATGTCAATCGGTGGTTCGTCGATATCAAATTACTCCGTAGGGGAAAGCGGTACTGATGTATGGATTTCATTGCCTCGCCGAGTATTTCTCTCGGATATAAAACGTCTTCGGATTGGACGTATTTCCTTTTCGCTACCACACACGATCAATGATTTCGAGCGAACCCTCTTGCTATTTCTCATTCTTGCTGTCCTTCCGTCTCTCCCTCTCTCCCTCTCTCTCTCTCCCTCTCTCTCTCTCTCTCTCTCTCTCTCTCTCTCTCTTACTTTTTCTTTTGACGAGATTGATGACAGAGATGTGTTACGGCTCGAAAGAGTCGGCACAAATTTTATTTCATATTCTCTTTGTAATTCAAATGGCGTATAAAATTGTACTCGAAATAACAAGCCGGGTTCAGGAATCGTTCGCCATGTTCAACTCTGCTCGTCGTTTCGTTTCTGCATACAGGCGTAAAATTCCTTTCGCTTCGCGAAT